GGAGAGTGTGAACTAGGGGCTTGTTCACGGTGGCACTCAGTTAGCAAGCTGACACCCATGAATGTGTTATTTTGCTCAACACAAAGGGCCCAGGACACAGGGATGATAGCCACAGCCCCTGCATCTGGTAGGGCCCTCGGTTGCAGGGGGAAACAGGACCAGGGGGGAGAGACCCTCTCTGCGAGGGCTTCAAGGCTATGACAAATCCTGCCAGCCAGTTTGAGGACAGGGACAAAGGGAAGGCATTCTTGGGAAAGGCAGGAACTTAGGCAAAGGTCTTGAGAAGTGAATTGGCACAGTATGTTCTGGGCTTCGGAGGGCAAGGGCACTCACTGCTGGGTTCTGCTGGGTCAGGTGTGTCTAACACCACTGGGAAAGGGCTGCAGGTCAGCCAGCGTTAAAAGGGAGGGAGCAAGCCCAGGACCACCGATGGCGGGGGTGCTCAGATTCCCCCCCGCCTCCCTCACCTAGCGAGTCCTTCAGAGCATGGGTGAGCTTGCACTGCCGGAAGGGGATGTGGTCCCTCCTCTGGTCCCCGAGGGCGATGATGGCCTGCTCCAGGAATGACAGCGACTTGTTGATGTAGGTGGCTTCCTTCAGCACTCGGCCTTCAGACTAGAAACCAGAGGCCCCTTTAAGAACGCTGTCCTTCCAGTTCGGAGGGAAGCAGCAGGCCCGTGGCCAGACCGGAACACCCTTTGCTGGAACCAGGGTCTTCCTCTGGAGTCAGGAGACTGCTCCCACCTTGGGCTAATAACAGTAAAACTAATATTCATAGGGAGACTTGTGTGAGTGCTAATGTGACTGTGAGCACTTATTTATATTGATGGTCTCAGAGATTCATACCAGCTTGAATACACACAGGGATACTGATGCAGACACTTGTACAAATACTGATGCAGACACTTGTACATATATTACAGCAGGTACTCCGGAGACTATTCATGCAAATAGATGCCTATGAAAGTGCATACAGAGACTCATCTGAATACTCATGAGCACCGAGGTTAATATTTACACTCACACAAATATTCATGCGAATATTCATATTCATATGCAGAGAAACACTAATACTAACACAGAGTATTTACGAAGCACTCCCTGGGCAACATGCATCTTACTAAAAATTGAAGGGGGCCGTGTCTCCTTGCATCTTTACTAAAGTCCCGTGGGACAGCAAGGGGCCCAGTGTAACAGCTTTCTCATCCGGTTAGTTCTGTCCCTCCAGCTCTTCAGGGTCAAGCCCACATGCTCCACCGCTTTGTCCAGGGAGGTCCAATGAGCAAGCCGGCACCAGGCCAGGAACGGGGCCCAGGGCTTGTTGAGAAGGAGCCGCTTGCTTCCCGCACTTACCCCAGACTTGCCCAGCCTCTCTGAGCCTGCAAGGTCCACCAAGTTAATTTTGGAAGTGATGTACTTTTCATCTGATAAGGTCCGAGAATGGGCCTACGAGATACCCATAGTGAGAGATGAATCTCAACAGGGAGGAGCCTGTGACTGAGCAGGCCCCACCAAGAAATGGGCGGCCCTTCCCAGGCCACTTGTACTCACCTCCACGTAGATGGTGAAAATGCAGTGTGACCTGGAAGAGTTTTTGTTCATTGTGTGAGAGGCTATAATCTTGTTGGTCTCCCCCTGGAGAGGAAGGAGAACAGACCCTAATTTGAAGAGGCAAACTGTTTGCCTCGCCAATAGCCACACGATGGCCTTATCAGGAGAGCCATCCGGCAAAACTCTTCCCTACGCTGGAAGCAAGAGAAGGAAAAACAAGTTAAAAAACCCAAACAGATGAAACAAAAGTACACATTATACGACACACTTCAACCCTAGTACATCACCAATTACACTGAATGCAGATTGGCAAAGATGATCAGAATAGAACTGAAAAAAACAAAATCCTCCTACTGTGTTCTTTCAACAAAAAGCCAAAATAAGAAATTTATAGACATTCAGCTAACTTAAAATTGATTTTGTTGTTGCTGTTCATCAAATGCCTTTTTTGTTTGGCAAAAGTAAAAAAAGACATTAAAAAAAAAAAAAAGACAGGTCACAAGATACAGAAGATATCCGCGGCTCCGATAACTGAAAACCTGATTTCCAGAATACACACGGGTGGGGGGAAAATGGTGACTAGGGTTCCAATTCAAACACAGAAGTTCATTCCAAATAAATCCAGCTTAAAGATGTCTCTGTCATCAGTCGATGACTATTTTCTGGAACCAATCATAACCAGAGTCTTGGACTTACCATTCTGATCCAGAGATAAAGGCCCAATCAAAACAGTGACTTA